TTTGTTTTCTTTATTTTATAAAAGCACAACGTTTTGTTGATATTGTGAGTGCACACAAATAAAAGTAGACCCTTTACAGTTACGAATGATGTATTACTCTTACCTTTATGAGCAAAAATTACAGCATATCCACTGAAAAAAATGCAAGTGATCGCGCTGGCGCCTCCATGTCCTGCTAAGCGTGCTTTAGCTTCCACTCTCTGCACAAACTATTGGATATAGCCACATTTATCTAGGTTTAACGTTTAAACATTGTTATATGCTTGAACTGTTTTATATCTATAGATTTTATTTTAGGCAAGTCGTGATGATTTGAGAAGGCTAAATTGATCAAACATAGGCTCACTGTCTGCCGCTGGCCGCTTGGTCGTTACTTTAAAAAACAAAAACTTATATTTAACGAAAAAAAATAAAAATGCTCCAATTGTTTTTCTAAATTAACTTAATAAAAACGAAAACAAAATATAATCACTTTGCCATTACATACAAAACTGAACTATTTTAATAGCTGGAACAGTAGTATAAGCTGTTTTGGGAGAAGGGGGGAAAAAAGACGGGATCGGGTTGGACTCAGGCCGGTAATTCTGATAAGCTGTCGGACACGGGCCGTGCTAGGGCCTACATTTGAGGCCCGTGCAGAGCTCTAGGATGGAGAGATGTCGCTGCGTGTTATAGGTATTAATATTAACATTCCTGTTGGTTTATATGGTCGGCCATCGGGGGCCCCCTTAAAATGCGGGGCCCCAGGCATTTGCCTGCCTTGCCTGCCCCATTGCTATGCCTCTGATCGCCAATCCGTGAGATCGCCGATAGACGATATTATCGTGCATGGGTGGGTGGGGGCAAGAGAGAGACTCTGTACTTGTCATAGGCTATTTCATAACTATTTGGTGTTTTAAACCGCGCACGAGAGAGAGAGGGAGCCTATGGAAGCACCACGAATCTAAATAATATACTTTCAATTCAAACATACTGATAAACTAACATGTTAAATACAAAAATATTTAAAACAGCTAGTTCATATATATTCGGATACAACAGCCATACATCGCTATTAGGACCGCGCGTCCTGTGACAAGTTTGCCGCATC